GTGCTTTGAGATCTACTGATGAAATGTGCTCTACAAGAGCTACATATTATTATTAGCTTTTTCTTTATAAATATATTTCTAGCCCTCATGGCTATGGTGAAAAGTTTGAGGGCATCTGAAAGCTTTAAAACCCAACAGGCAATTAGAAAGAACCCAAAATTCATTATTATGTTTAAAACACCTCATGATTAATCTTGGGTTTTTTGAACACTAGGGAGTTGGTAGTACAGTGAATTTCCAAAGTGAAGTGAATTTCTAATCCACCAAGCTGAGCCTGGTTCTGATTTTGATTGATCAGAAAAATGTGCCCTGCGTTAAAGAGCGTAACAAAACCCCCTTCCCTGATCTCCCTAAGCAAGGCTGATTCTCATGGCTTTCAGAGAGAGCTAATAGCTGTACTTCAGAAAACTCAGATGTCTGTTCACAAGAAGCACTCACTCCAATTAGCCACCACACATCCCACCCAATGGCACAGGAAACCCACATTAAAGGAGTAACGGAAGACCAGCTAGGTTATCATATTGTTCATAAAAGCCAGCAGAAGATGGAGAAAGACTGGTATGAACTCAGATTGTTCTGGGGAAAGGAGCCATGAGAGGAGGTTTAAATTTTTAACAGTGAGGCTAATTAGTCACTGGAACAATTTAGAAGGGTCGTGGTGAATTCTCCATCACTGGCAATTTTCAAATCAGGACTGGATGTTTTTTCTAAAAGATCTGCTCTAGGGATGATTTTGGGGAAGTTCTCTGGCCTGTGTCACAAATGGTCCCTTCTGGTCTTGGAATTGAAGGCAGCTCGGGTTGGCAGGAGGGTGAGATGGAAGGTTCTAGAAATGGGAGGAAATGTTCAGAGTTATAATCAGCCCCAGTCGTTTTGATTGGATCGTGTTCCTGGGATGAGGGCGCTGCCCCCTTTTTGGATGTTGTTTGGGGTCGAGCAGCTAGAGATGTGGGCTGGAAGGAGCAAGCTTCAGCATTGTGGTTACTCCCCTATCTCCACCCTCACCTTGGGACCCTGGGATCCACCCTGAGACCATTGGGCCTTCGTTGTCCTGACCCTGAGAGGTGCCCTGACCAGACCAGGCCAGAGAGTAGGAACATGACATTGCCACCTCCACTGGCTCTGGCTAAATCAGTGGGTCTCAAACTTTTTTACTGGTGACCTCTTTCATATAGCAAGTCTCTGAGTGTGACTCCCCTAATAAATTAAACACACTTTTTAATATATTTAACACCATTATAAATGCTGGAGACAAGCGGGGTTTGGGGTGGAGGTTGACAGCTCGTGACCCCTCATGTAATGACCTCGCAGCCCCCTGAGGGGTCCCGACCCCCAGTTTGAGAACCCCTGGGCTAAATCCTGACCAACACTTGAGATGTGAGCGTATGTCACCTTGTACCCTCTCTTCACTTCCCTTTCTGCCTTCTGTGTAGTAAGAATCTGGATGAATCATCAAGAAAAACTTCACTCCACAAAGCTGTGAGCCTGACCAGATAAGCAGCTGAAAGCAACGCCTTAAACAGCCTGGTAACAGTATGTCTCCTATCAAATAGCTCAGAGCATAATGCTGGGCTTGTCTTTTTCCAGCAGTGAGGCTACAAGTGTGAGTCAGCACCAAAGACAGAAACCACATTTTCTACCTTTTGACCTTTCTCTCAGAACAAGTCGGTCTTGTTTTGTATCAAAGGGAACAGGATTAGACTCCAGCAGCAGCAACAATCACTCCAGATTATTGAAACTGACACTTTTCTCCCCAAAAGGACAGTTAATACCATCAAATGCTGTGAAGTAGGGGTTTCCCCAAGAGAAAACCCTTCTGTAAGAGAAAGGGGGTAAGGGATATTATTACAATTCATAGATTCATAGATTC